CCTCCTGCAACTGCAAAGCTCGTAGGCAATGTTTGGGAAATTATTCCAGCCACTTCCCAAAAGTTTTCCGTGCCGGCAATGCCAAAAGTTGCCGCGCCTGCCACAATTGAGCACCGGCCTCGAATCAGAGAGCTCGTCCGAGAGAAGATCAAGGAACTTGAGTTCAAGGTCGCACTCGAGCTTTTCGCTTCAGTTGCTAGGCTTGTATCAAAAGATGAGATTGCCAGCAACCCCAAGGCCAAGGCCGCCCTTGATAAGGAATGGGATAATCTCCGTAATAAGGGTGTTTGGGATGAGAAGCGTGTTCGTGAATGCCGCGACATAGTAGCTGAGGCTCGTCGCAATGGCCAAACTGTGCACCTAGGTCGAATCTTTGAGGCTTGCTATGAGAAGGGTTCTGAATTGCCTGAATCAGACCCTCGCCGGAAGTTCAAGGGTAGGACGGTTTTCCAAGGAAACAATGTCAGGGACGAGAATTCCGATCACGCACTCTTCAATGAGTTAGGCTCTTCCCCAGCATCAATGGAAGCAGCAAAGCTGTTAGATGCTTTTGGTAGTCAGCCCGGGTTCTCCAAACAGCAGGCAGATGCAATCCAAGCCTACATACAAGCCCTCTTCACAGGGGTGCCCACATGGTTGTCACTTCCACGCAACAGATGGCCCAAAGATTGGGAGAAAAAGTACTGGCAACCCATGGTTCCTATGTTACTTGCCCTTTATGGTCATCCTGATAGCGGGGGTATTTGGGAAAATCATCTCAATAGCCGTGTGGTAAAACAGGGTTGGAAGCAAATTTTACCTGACATTTGGCATTCAATTTTTCATCATCAAGAGCTCAACTGTCTTTAGGTTGTGTATGTCGATGACTTCAAGATGGCTGGTCCCACCGCCAATCTGGAAAAGGCATGGGCAAGCGTCAAGGCTGCAGTGAACATTGGTGATTCTGAGCCATATGACCGCTACTTTGGCTGTATGCACCGTGAATTTCAAAACATCCGGTTGCCTTCGCAGGCACACCCTTTCGCATTCGCCTTTGAAGCCAAGAAGTCAGCAGCCGCACAACACAGAACACAAGACTGGTGGGAGCATGATGAAACCAACATGGCATGGATCAGACACCACATTCAACCCCGAAAAAGATTGTACCAGCCGGTTGATGAGGGGGGAGATGTAACTTGTCAAAATTCAAGTCGCATAACTTTCTTTGACAAAAAGGTGACATTAAAAAGTTGCCCTAGCATCACCGACGGGAACAATCAGGGGGGCTATGATGTTTATACAGACGATTGGAAAACATCTAGCAATCAAACAAATGAATTCTGGACAGGAAAAACAGTTTTCTGTTACGGACAAGATGGACCTGACAAATTCAAGCAGTTTGCAATGGCAAGTAAAGCCAGACCAGGACCACATCGCGACAAACGCGAGGCGAAAAAGGAAGCCAAGGCCTCTAAGTTCAGGGGGGTTGATCACGCTGTGAAGACAAAAACTGGCGTCATGGCCAAGCCCGTGAACTTAGTGAGGTATGACATGAGTGATTTCCTGGGGTCCTGCGTAGAAAACTATTGTAGTCTTGCAAAAGTCAGCCCATCGTCCTTAAAAGAGGTGCCAACACCATTCACAGATGCTGGCATCGCACGGCCCACACTCAGTGAAGATGAAAAGCCCGGCAAACTCCAGCCAGTGGCCAGCAAGATCTTGATGAAGATACTCTTTGCCGCCAGAATGGCAAGGTTCGATTTGTTGCGTGCCACACAAAGCTTAGCATCAAGAGTGACAAAATGGTCCATAGAATGCGATGTTGCCTTGCATAGATTGGTGTCATACATTCATTGTACAAAGCACCATTTTCTAGAGGGTTTCATTGGGGATGCCTTTGATGAATGCCAACTCTGGCTTTTTGCCGACGCAGATCATGCAGGCGAACATGATAGCAAGAGTACTACTGGCAGTGCCATTGTGCTTGTAGGCCCCAACACGTATTACCCCTTAAATGCATTCAGTAAGAAACAAACGGTTGTTGCAATATCTTCAACTGAGGCTGAGGTAGTTGCCGCAAATCACAGCATGAGAGCTGAGGGCATTCCAATGCTGGCCCTGTTTGAGCAGTTGAACCTTTTCAAGAAGCTACAGGGTAAGCCAGCTCGCGATGCCGCGAAGCCCCAAGAAGATGCCGTGTTCACTAGGATCGACCCTGAGATTGATGAAATCCGTAATGGGAACGTCGATACAGGTTGTAGTGCAGCGGACATCAACTCCCTCAAGGCCAGTTTCCCTGAATTTTATCAAGTCAAATTTATGGAGGACAACCAAGCGACTATCACAGTCATGTCCACCGGTTCATCAGCATCCATGAGACACATGAACAAAACACAAAACATCAACTTCAAATGGTTGAAACAACAATTTGAATGTAAACAGTTCGATCTTCTCAACGTAGGAACCAGTTTCCAAGTTGCAGACATTCTTACAAACCTTTTACCCGACCAGCCCTTTGGTTGCATGCCATTCATCTCATTGGCATTGGCCCGACAAAGGTGGAAGAAGCAGCAGCCCGCCACACCGCGGCGCCGAACTCCACTAAGGTGCCAAAACTAGCAACCGCTGCCGGGAATCAGGGGGGCTCCCAAAAGTCTTTTAAGCCCAGAATGTTGATCGAATTTTGCTGCTCTGACGATTCGAAACTTAGTACCCCAAGAAAGTCCAATGAAGGTTGCCACTGCATTAGGGTTACCGAAAAAGAAGATGGTACCACTAACAGCTGTCGGCAACGGCTAGCCTCCCAAGTCCAAGATTTCAGAAATGATTTCAATGACGGCACTTTGATACTTTATGCATCGTTGCCTTGTGTTGGAGGTAGCCCATGGGGGAATGTGAATGGCCTTACTGTTGAGGGTCAAGAAAGAATCAAAGAGCAACAAAAACAGTTTTCCAAGTTGTTCAAATCTTTTGTCAAACTTGTGGATGAAGTTTATGATGAACGAACCTTGATAGCATTTGAACTGTCCAAGAATTGCAAATATTGGAGATGGCCGATGGTTAGAAAATTCCTCATAGAACGATCCATGACTACTCATCACTTTGATGGTTGTATGTTGGGTGTTCTTGGAAACAACGGTCAACCAATGAAGAAAAGTTGGACTACTGCAGGAAACTTCAAAGAACTCGAAGTGTTAGACTCATTCAAATGTGATGGCAAACATGAGCATGATCAAAGTAGGGGCAAAGCTCTTAAACTTGCTGAGAACTATACCTTCAAGTTGACCGACATGCTCCATGAGTGTTTCCGGGTAGCTGTGGTGGGCCAAACATCCAAAAGGATTTCACCCGCTGTCATTCGTGCCTGTCCTGCTAAAATGGCTGACTCGCGATATGCCACAGCACACCCGGCCAGCCGCGAGGCTGCGCTCGAAGCCACACGTGAGGCTAACAAAGAAGCATGGTTGCTCCTTCACAATCGCATTTTGTTTGGCTTGGTATGCGATGAAGGTGAGATCAGGGCTGCTCAGCGCACAACCTTAGCCTGCTGGATGGACTCATGACCCCCCCTACGAATGGACGCCCGTGGCTGGCCCTGTAGGCTTCTCTCCACCGTTTAGAGGGATCCCGCTTGCAGAATTACCTTCTTAGCTTCTGACGTTTTGCTAAAAGGCAGTCACATTGAAAAGATTAATGTTGCCTTATGTTATGAGTGCCGTCATCATGAGTACCCACCTGCGATCTTCAGTCCCACTTTTCCTGAATGTAGTTCAGTTGTGACATGATCACAGGGCCCGTTAGGGAAAAACACTTAAGAATGTGGTTTGGACACTGTCCGAGCATTACCGGCATAATTGCGCAAGTACGAACGTATGTGATCTTGAGTTTCATTCCATGAGATTTCGATTGCAGCCCGGCACAAAAACTCTGCAGAAAAAGAATTTTCCTTCTATTGGGGTTCCCAAAATGAATGGGGTTCCCAGATCCTTTGTGGTATTGTGTAGTGCCTACCTGATCTGATGCTGGGCCATCGCTTGACTCATTGATTGGCATATTAAACCTTTTTACGCACGCTTTGGGTCCGGGGTGCTGAGCGGCGCATTGAACCCAACTTGAGTCCAAATTGGAGCCATTTATTTGGGCACGCTGGGCTGAAGTTGATCCGTTGGTGGCAGTTTCAAATGGGGAAAAGTCATTTTGAAGCCATGTCTTGGGCCAAAGTTGCTAGGTCCAACTTGGGCCTTCTTGGCAAATATTGACCCCAGGTTGGGCACGTGTTGCGAACATGCCGGGCCGAAACGGTGAATTTGGACGATATTGTGAAAACTATGCAAATTACCACAGCCCTGTGCACTTTTTGGGGCACTGCTCGGTTGAAAAATTGCACTTCCCCAGGTAAACTATATATACCTGTCCCCTAAATTATCACGCCTCAGCTCCTTTGGTGCGCGGGCTTTCTGGATTTTTTCACTTTGAAACAGGATATTTGGACAAGTTGATGGCGTTTAATTTCCAAGAGAAACCAGATACAACATAAAGGGTAACGGTTATGCAGTCAAATTTAAATCAGCTTCAATGAAAAATTCAAGGTTTTTGGGGAAAAAATGAATGGCATTGCTTTCAGTGAATTTTGGGGAGCAGCCATGGTCCAGTGCGATCAGTTTGCCAGTGGTCACATACTTTGGAAACACATTTGGTTCAGAAACCGGAACCCGTTTTCATTGGGTTAAAAGGGGGCCCCTTCAGATTGGGTTTCCATGGTCATACTTTTTTGTATGTATGCATGTCGCCACTCGTGTCGGAAGGCCCAGTTCGGGCTCAGGAATTGTCCTTGCTGCAGTGCCCACTGCATTCAGCCATGAGATTTGTTCATCATATTTTCTAAAAACAAAATTTTGACGCAACACAGGATACCAGAACCACCTTAGAACCATTAAGAAACAGAGACGCGAAACCCGGAAAACGACACATATTCATTGTAGGTTTGTGGCTTGTCTCGCTCAGCTTGATGGTGCATGCCCATGGCTCTACCTGCAGTAGAGGATTTGAGTGGGAGCGAAAATGAGTTTTGTGGTGTATCTGAGTCTGAGGCAGGCTCAGACGCCTCTCAACTTCCACTGGTGGGGGTAGGGAAGCGGAAGCGCCCGGCTCTGGATGATGAGATTTCTGTGCGCAGACTGTTGGGTAGACAATGCCTCTGTAGCAAGTGGAACTGTTTTCAGAAATTTAGCAGGGAAGAGGACTTTCAGAAACTGTTGGCCTTCCGGAAACAGTGGGCAAATTTGCACAAACTTGATCAAGACAAGGTGGAAACTTGTCCTCAAGATTCTTGTTTTTTTTTTTCTGGGAGGCAAACCAATGTCTGCTGTTTGTTCACAGGCTCAGCCCGAAGTAATTTGTCTATCGCTTCCATTCCATGGTTTGACCCAGGTCTTTGAAATTTTGCGGGAACGATGTGGAAGGCAAGGCGATCCGTGGGAATTGCTGGACACCACTGTGTGCCTTAAAGCCTGGAAGGTTCTGCGTGGGATTGGAACCTTAACAAGAATATTTGATGTTTTTCCGTTTTCTTGCGCATCTGTGCGCCGACTGGTGCTTAAAACTGTAGTTTGCCCGAACAACTGATTGGTTAACAATAACAATTTTTGGTTTTCAGTTATTAGTTCTGATTGGCAGTCCTTTTCTTTTGCAAGTTGAAGCCAGAGATGTTCAGTGTGAGGATCACGACGGTTCTCCCGGATGAAGTCCGCCATCCAACAGGGAAAGACTTCCCCGCCAGTGGATTTGCGATACCTGAAGAAACCTAAATCTTTGGACCAGTCGCAGAGAGCAAGCGTTGTAAGTTTCCTTGGTCACTTATACAACAGTGTCGCAGAAACACTTCCAGACTTCCGGGATGACATTGAAAATGCTGACGTGGAGGTCCAGGTTGTTGGATTGAAACCACCTGAAGATGACAGTGAGCGAGACCCATATGGTGATTTCATACAGCAAGAACAAGACCCCAGCACAAAGCTTTCCGAAAAACCTTCTCTGCAGCGGCCTGCCAAGGCGAAACAATCTAAAGAACGGAAAATGCGCGGTTCCATTGAGATGAATGTAGCACGCAAGCCAGAGGCTGCCGGAAAGGAGGTCCGGTGGTTGCCTCCTGGTCAAATGAAAGACATGTGGGAACAGTACAGGGTAGGGCTGCAGAATTCCATAGTGCGACCAGCAAGTTTCACTTTGTTTTGGAGAGAGCCTTGATTTGGTATTGTATTACAAGCATTTACCATTTGCCACCCATTGTTTTCAGTGCCGTTGCTATGCGGTGCAAGTTTGTAAGCAGCAGTGTTGGCCTTTCATATTTCCAATCAATCAGGTAGAAATTTCGCACCCTGACTGGCAGCCTGATGAGGTGTGGCTGCAAGACTTTGCATTCCTCAAGTTCAGGCCCAACCGGAGCCATCCTGAATGTGGCGTTTGCGTCAAGATGAAGCTTTGGATCAAGCAGTTGGGTGACCACTTGAACGCCAGGAAGGCACAACTAGAGGCCTATCACAAGCACTTACACCACCAATACCTTGACCGAATGTCCTACTGGGAGTCCCGTGGCTCCAGCAGAGGGCATGGCAAGAGTATCGTTGCCATAATTGATGGCATGGACCAGGCAAAGTTCGCATACCCACGACATCTTTCTTTGAAGAGTTGCTAGCTATATTTACTTTGCACGCTTAGCAAGTCCCACCCAAACTATTTTTTGTGCCCTTCTATCGGCACTGGATAGTCTTCCACTTCCTCTTGTCAGCGCCTCCCAGGTAAGGAGTTTCAGCGGCTGATGCGGCCGCGGGCACACGTAATCGGTGCCTTGGTCCATGGATACATGATCGGCTTCGGAGTAACAGAGCCGAATCTTCCTAAAGATTCGTCAACCCACGTTGAGATGGTGGCTCACCTTTTAACGAAATTGGCAGAGCAAGGTGTTTGCTTGAGGGAGGTGTCGTTCACTTTGCAGTGCGATAACACTGCGCGGGAGTGCAAGAATTCAATCATGATGGCATTTCTTGCATCATGCGTCAGCAAAGGATTCTTGGTATGGAAATTTGCTCAACAGTTGTTTATAGAAGCGCGGAGGGTTTTTAGTTTGAGTTTGAGGTGTGTTTTCCTCCACGGTCTTTGAAAATAGAAAGCTTTTTTTTCCCTCAGAGCAGGAATCCTGAGAGAAGCGACCTTGTCCAGTCTTCGTACTGGGCACAGCCACGAAGATGTGGACCAAGTCTTTGGGAGATTAGCAGCTTTCATGGTTCCCCACACCGCTCAATCTCCTCGAGACTTTGTAGACATCATTCAAGCCTTCCTCCAACAGGCCGACTTTCCTTTTGAGCCTCCTGCCCACCGGCGTGCCTTCAAGATAGATCAAACACGGGATTGGTCGATTGATTTTGACTTGATTAATAGTTTTGTTGCCCCGCTTTCCTTGCTTGCTCGTGTCTACGGGGTGGGTTTAAAATTTGACTTGCGTGGGTCTTTACTACGCAGCCAAGGAAAACCTTCTTGCAAGCGGCTGTTCCTGTCCATTTGAAAGGAATTGGAGGTAGCGGCGCGCCTCACGTATTTAGATTTCAAAGACGATCCAATTGCGGCCTTTGGGAAAAATAACATCTTTTTGGTTTATTTGTGTCGGTGTGATTGCTTGGTGCTGTTTGTTGCTATTATTTCTGTTGTTGCGGTAGAGTTTCCTTAGGGCAATGGCAGCAGATAGTGGGACCCCCGGCTGGGAGGATGGGCGCACGTTGCCACTCGTCAGGTTTGCAGCCGGCCGAAATCGAGGACAGGTACTTCAAGCTTTCGCTGGGCCAGTTGGGGGCAGACGATGTTATTCTGCAGCCGCTTTGAAGAATGTAGGCCCCCCACAAACAAGGGCTAAGATTCACCCCACCTGTGTGTCCCTCCCTTTCTCCCTGACTTCTTCACTCGTTTCCCTCCTTTCCTCCTTTCCTCGTCGACTCCCCTCCCCGAACCCTATCCCGAGCTCCGCCCTACCTGACAGAGACAATGCCAGACAGCATGCCAGATAGAATTGCAGACAGAAAGGATTCCAGACAGAAAGTATGTCAGAGGATTTGCTGCCAGAAAGAACGCCAGATAGAATGCCAAAAGATATATACCGTATTATACTTCCATAGGATATGATATCAGAAACTATGAATGTCAGAAGAGTGTGTCAGGGTGGGCATCACGCCAAGTAGGTAATTATTTGTGTTTGATTGTAATTTTTACCAGCTACGCTTAGGACAAAGCGGTGGATGTCGGACAAGGATTTCCAGAAGGCCATGCTTTACTACCCTGCAGTGTGGGCTGCCGAACTCCTTCCTTCAGGTGTGCCAGCAGGCAGGCTTATCATGGGAGGGTTCACAGGTTCTTCAAGCCGAGTTGAAGTCAGCTGGAAAGTCAACCAAGTTATGATAAAGATGGTGCGTTGGCCAATGTATTGACAATTACAACAGCGCCACAGAGACTAGCATGGCATTTAAGATAACTTGGGTTGCAGCCCGCTGCAGCCATCGCCGCGAAGAAGCCCATTGGCGGTGACATGCGGGACAACATCCTGGCCCATTTGGCAATCTTGCGCAGCCCGATTTTCCAACTCAACAAGGCTGCAGACCATTTGGAGAACTGGGTCAATGGGGTTTTAGATTTGGAGCCTCTCCTGGATGTCCGAGCGTGCCTCAAATTGGGATTGATTGCGGTCTAAACCTGTCGTTTTTTTCTCGTTGTGGCGAACCTGTTATTTAGTAGTTGTTATTATTTAGTTGTTTCATGCTTCAAAAGAAGGAATGGTTCCAGGTCAATGCAAGTTTGTCAAGGCATGTGTAAATCGACTCTCAGGTGCTTGGCTTCACCTGCAGCGCGCGTTGACCCAGTTTCTGATAAAGCCCCGCTGGCGGACAATTTCGAGTCTTCAGCCAACTTGCTGTCGTTCCCAGAAATGATTTATTGTTTTTTGTTCAGCTGCAGGGATGTCGTTGCCTCTGTAATTTAGTGACAACCCATTCAATCCATTTGCTTTATTTTCGGCGCCATCATGCACAGTGCATTCAAGGCTCCATCGCGTTTCTCGGAAATCAAAGGCTTTGGCTGTGTACAAGACCCAGGCCCAAACCCGCAGAATGATGAATATCGCTGCGCGATCTTGGGCGCAGGGCGTGCCGTGGGACCGTGCGTTGAAGATTGCCAAGGAAGTTGTGAATAAGATGGACAAGAGACGTGCATAGGAGTCATGTGGCAGTGCCAGAGTTAGATAACTTTATTATACTTTATTGTTGGTATGGTTCAACCCAAGTTTCACGATTTTGAGAATGATCAAAGGGAGTCATGAGGGCACTTGTTGGCGCGACAGTTTCACCGTACACAAGATTCCTGGGGAGCCATTGTCAAAAGAATTGATTCACATTTCTGTCACAACCACTGCTGGATTACTTTAAATTAATGTCCTGCTTACACTGCTACACCTCTTCTGGAACCCCAGGTTCGCAGTAAACCAGTTGTAAATCTTGCCGGAACCGACACCAACAAGAGAATTGAAGCTGTAGATGTTTTTAGTGGGAGACAAGTCCGTGAAAGTTGACAAATTGTATATAACTTGAATCCAGGATAGAAATCTCAGTGTTGAATTTTCCCGTGCCATGGACTGTCTACCGACGGCTAAGCCGTATTCTGTTTGCATAGCAATCCTTTTGTGAGCGCAGCACAGCAGAAGTCTTAGTTTGAGATGACGCGGGCTTGGCGTCAACATGAGAATGATCCGCTCGCTTTGAGTCAGGACCCCAGCCTGAGTGTGGCAACGTACTTGGTGGCTTCCATGGTGGTGTGAGATCAGCCAATTTCTACTTCTCATTCTTGAATTGCCCTTACTCCTTTCTTCTTGAGTTGTACAGATTTTTTTTGTAACTTCCAAGGCTTTTGAATGGTCCTGGGTTAGTGTCGCCCATCTAGCTTCAGGTCTTTCGCAGAGATTGCCTTGAATCAGATGCAGCAAGGTGCCCCCAGGGTCAGGGCGCTGGGTATCACTTAGTCACTCCATGACTCTGCAATGCAAATCATACCAGCCGTTGAACCTAGACTTGGCGAACACAAAAAGAAACCAGGCACAGTAAAGTGAGGGGCGTATGTTTCTTTTTGTTGATTGTGAAGTGTGATTCTTTGTGTGGGGCTGTTGCATTGAAGCATGGTCGTGATTAATCGGCTGCCGGTAGATTTTGATCAACGCTCATGATTTCATTTATTTGTCATTTCTTTGGTTGCCTACAGCCCGTTGGATGGTGCTGAAAGGTGTTGATTTCCTGAAGCCGTTGAAAGGCTCAGGCAATAGGTGATTGATGGTTGTTTAGAGCATGTCGTCGGTGCCGCAAGGTGGTGTGAAGTTTTTGCCGGCCTGGCTGTTTCAGCAGAAGTTGGATGCCTTGGAGAACCAGAGGATGCAGGTGGCCCTTGCATCGGAGTTGCGGCTCTTGTTTGAGCTTGCCGCTGCTGAGATTAGTGGGTTGGAGGAAGTCATGCCCGCTCCATCTTTGAAATCGGTGAGGGAGGACCTGGAGAAGATGCAAGCTTTGGTGACCAACTTTCAAAACGGTTTGGAATGGCAGCGGTTTTCCAGTCCGCCTGGTTTCGATCCCAATGCTTTGCCAGATGAGGTGGCCTTGTCCAGGGCAAAAAATGTGGAGGAGGAGGTTGGTGGATGGAAGGCATTTGACGCTGGGTGGACTCAGGTGAGGGTCCTCAAGCATGCCGATACGCTGAGTGAGTTTTGCTTCCGGATTGGTGGAACATTGGAGTGGGATGAGATCGGAGTCATTGGTGTGCGTATCCAGAAGGGGATTGGAGGGCAGTGGAAAAGCAGGTTGAAATTTCAGCCAGAAGCTGCCGCGCAATCGCATGGCGTGTGCTGACGCGAACCTTCTTGCCTACCCCTGTTGCAGGGTCCTTTGAGGGCAGACGCTCTGCTATGAGGACGGTTTTTGGAGATAGTAGCAGTAGATGAAAAATTCAATCACCGGAGCCAGGCGTTACAGAATCCCGCGAGAAAAACACATTGCCACCAGCTGCGAGTCAGGCTTGAGTTTTGTGAGTGTCTCTTCTCTGGGATTCGTTTAGGTTCTCCATTACTGCACTGTTTTTTGCAGGTGCGACCCTGCGTGCTGATGTGTTGCTACAAGGTGCATTTTAAGGGATGCAGCATTGCAACTGTATGAATTGAATTTTACTGTGGCCATTGGCGCTATGGATCTCCTGGTCTTGCAATGTTTCAGGCATGCCTGCTACTGTGCTTTGCAGGCCAGGGGTTGAGCAGCTGTTTTTCCGGTGGAACAATGAGATGTCACACAGTTCAGGTGCCAATGTTTTTTCAATCTGTTTTAGTTTTTTTGAATCAATGATGGAGGTTGCGTCCGCACGTTTCGGGTTTCAGCCTTTGTCATCATGACAGGGCTCATATGTCAGCTCCCCAGATGATCAGATGCCAGCTTAAATTTCATCGAAAGCCACATTTCCAACAAGATTTTGTTAGTGTTTTTTTTGGTCAACTTGATGCCAGCATGAATCCTCAGCATTTTGGGCTTTTGAACGGACACCGACGTGATGTCTTGCTTGCCACCAGTCCTGGAACTGTCCGGGCCCAAAGTTTGTTGTCATGATTCTGGCAAGATTTCCGTCGATGATCCCAGAGATATTTAATGGCAAGGTTATTTTTTCAAGGTCCGAAGATGAAGAGTGCCAACCGCGCCCTTCAAAGAAGCCTGCTTCAAACCTTGTTATGAAGCCCATGAAAGTTTCAAAGCCGAGAAAGGCCATTTAGTGGTAGCCAAACGTCATGAGTTGCCTTTGGTAGTACAACTCTTCACTATGTCATGTTTGTTGAACTTGCGGGAGGTTCGATTAAGGAAGCGTCCTTCAAAGAAGGCAGTGACCAAAGCTGTTGTGAAGCTGAAGAAGAAGGCTAGCCTCACCAGTTCGTCAAGCAATTGATGTTTGCAACGAGTTCTTAGTCTTACAAGCTTTTTTTCCAAGATCAAGTAATCCTAGGACCTCAGGAGACTTTTTTTGATGTCAAAATTTGGCATGTGTGCCGGACTTCCGCCAGCTCCCACCTCATGGCAAACTCAATTGCCGTGGGGAACTCTATGCTGCGGCAGTGCCATTGCAGAGGGTCGCCCCCCTCGCATGGAAGGTTGTGCATGGCTCAGTTAGCGCGTATCATGTTTGCAAGTTTGGTTATGTTAGGGGGAAGTTTTTGAATAATAAATGGCAGGCCCCTGAAAGACTGGATGCTTTCAGGTATCTCGCAGCAGGGCTGGCAAGAAGGCCAATGGTGCTGTCATCTTCAGTGGCACCAAGACGTTGAAGGCATGGTCCACGATTAGTTCTGGCCCTAATTTTTGTCGCCAAGAAGCATGTCATGTTACATGGGTCCCTGATTAGCTGAGGATGTTTCTCCGCCACAACCAGCGTGGCTAAGTCGCAGGTCAGCAGGCGAGGAATTGGCGCCTGAAGCCTAGTCATGCGTCCCAATTTTGAAGGTTCTGT